TTTTCAGCTAATTGCTTCTTCAATAATTCTTGGGCTCCATAGTAGATCTGATGTAAATGAGTCTCATATTAACTATTTTTATATAGGGATGTAAGTCTATTATAACAAATGGGATATTATAAAACTGTCAATTATGATCACGTTACAAATGACTAAATTTTGATCCCCAAAATTCTTAGTAATACCAATGTTCACTTTGTCTGGATTGTTGCAGTGTGCCCCATATAAAAATATGAGGAGTTTGAATAGAACCTCAGAAACTTATATTAGATGTTCCTGGCATGTAGACTAGGTAAAATATATATTAAAATTTCCTGATGTTACTGGATAAGGCAGTGTTGTAAAATCAGGACATTGTGACACTATTGGAATGTTCCAATTAAAGCTCCTTACAAGCTGGCTTAGTGAGCTGGCTCATGTGGAGCCTTAGCTCCAATGTGGTTTTCAATGGTATTGACAAATGAAGTTTATTTGTGTGGGATTGTATATAATTAAATTTCATTGGTTAGCTTCATTGGAATCACATTAGAACATTCTAATTCCAATTGGAATTTATTGGAATGTGCCATTTATGGTTCCAATAATTTCCATTAGAACAACATTGGGCTAGTGGAGGCTTTAATAACACACTAAAAAAGGAAATATCGCACACAAAATCACCCCTACCAGGTGGCTGAGTGCCATTTGGTGATGATCTTCGTTTTTGACCAATCATATTGCGAGCAAAAAGATTATCTACACAATAATTTTTTGATCACGAGCTTGCATTCTTATTGATAAATTTGACGATCTGCAAAGTAAAACAGAAGATTTTACAAAAACCACAAGGACAATAACCGAATTTTTATTCACATATCAATCAGCTGAATTTCAAAGACCATTTTCGTATTAGGAAGTGTTACTTTCAGAAAAAGTTTTTTATTCAGAAGACATGTTTACATATTTAATTTGAGATATAAAAAATAATGTTAATGTTGAAATAACTAACACAAGTAAATCGCTATAAAAGCAATCAATGTAAATAGATTCGATATACTATCCTTTTTAACCGTTTTCGCCTATCTCTTCCTGCATCTTCTTTTGGATCTATAGAATGAGTATAATAAAGTGGAAGAAAACAATGTGAATGTATTTACGCCAAGAATTCTCTCACAAAGAAAAAGTATGTAGCTGAGGTAATTAATCGAATTTGGTTTATCAAGCAATCAGGTTGTCATACAAATAAATTATGAAAATTTTTAGCTATCAATAGCCGAAAACCGTTTAAGGTATATATAATAATAATGATAATAATTAAAATGTGCAAATTTGGGTGCACAGATTTCGTTTAATGTTACACGCCCCAAAAGATCTGTTCGAATTTCATATATACTAATACTAATACTAATACACTGCAAGTCACTTAGTCCCACAACTTTTTATTGGTCATGTAGATTTTCAAATTCTCCAAAAATAGAAATGCAACACCCCAAAAATAAATCGTGTATTTGAAGCCAAGACCTTCCTCTACAAAATCACGATTTCATTTCATTGATATGTCATGTTGTTGTGGAGGATTTGAGCTTTAAAGTTGCACAAAGTTTACCGAATTTACTATTCTTGGCCCTAAAATGGCCATTTACACGCAAAAAAGTTACTATCAAAAATAGACGAATTGAAACAATAAAAATTTGAAAATTTATCTTATGTTGCAGATCTTTTGTCACGTGAATTTTCCAGATGAACGGGAAGATAATTAATTATCTTTATTATTAAAAAAATACAAAGAACAGCTAAGTTCATTTATTTTAATTTAATAAATAGA